CCCGCGTCTCCTGCATCGGCAGGCGGACTCTCAAGCACTGCGCCACCAGGGAAGCCCCAATTTTAGTTGTTTTTATTGGGACTCTAGCCCAATATCTGGTCCGAAGCAGAAGTTGACAGTGCTTCTTATGCATGTGTTTGGGCCCCCTCCGTGGAGATTCTAGAACTCCAAGAAGAATCAGAATGTAAAAAGTTTTTTGTGAAGGAAAAAAGTAAAATTAGAAAGAAAGAACCTGGCTGGTGAGCTATTAAGGCACACAAAGCTATACCAACGAAAACAAGGAGATGGCCAGAAAAGTTGGCGATGGATGAGAACAGATTTAGAAACAAACAATGACACACATGGGATCTTTTTCAGGGAGGAAGGAGTGTTTCAAATCTGTTCATAGCACTGAACAATCGAATTGCCCAGGTTGGGGCAATCCTTACCTCTCTCTTCATCCCGAAATAAGTCCTAGGTGGGTAAAAATAAACAGAAATAAAAAACCCTGGCAGAATTTGTGCCAACTGTGGAAGGGCCTCTAAAAGCACAAAAGAGAGACATTTAAAGAACTGTGGTTTGAAAATCATAAAAATAAAATGTTTACAGCAAAACTACTCATAAACAAAACTGAAAGGTAAATTTGGAAAAAATGTACAACGCGAAAGTTTATTACTTGTTCAGATGGTAAATTTTATGTTATGCGTGTGTTTTTTTAAATTATTTTCTTGAGGATTAAAAAAAAAAGATTTATTATTTACTTATTTAATTTATTTTTGGCCGCATCAGGTCTTAGTTGTGGCACGCGGGATCTTTTGTTGCGGTGCACGGGCTTCTCTCCAGTTGTGGCAGCAGGTTTTCTCTTCTCTAGTTGTGGTGCATGGGCTCTGTAGTTTGTGGTACCATGCTTTCTAGTCGAGGCGTGTGAGCTCAGCAGTTGTGGCGCACAGGCTTAGTTGCCCCACGGCATGTGGAATCTTAGTTCCTTGAAAAGGAATTGAACCTGCGTCCCCTGCATTGTAAGGCAGATTCTTTACCACTGGACCACCAGGGAAGTTGCTATGTTACGTGTTTTTGTTTACAATTAAAATTTTTAACAAGTTTGTTGTCCCTATTAAAATAAAAGGAATTATGATATATGAATGAGAAAAAGACAAATGTCTAATAAAAAAAAAATTGAACCAGCTAATTAAAAATAAATATGAGAAAATCTCCCTGGAAAGAAATGAAATGAGAACAAGGAGGCAGCACCTGTATGTACTCAAGAGTTTGGCCAAGATGAAAAATCAGGGTGATAACGACCTCATGTATAAACAGTAACCTATCTTGACACCCTGGACTAAGAAGTCTCTCCTCGCAGGAAAAGGGGGTAGGTATTGAGGGGTTAGGACTTGGTCATAAGTTTTTTAAGGTCACCATTCAACCCAGTGCAGACGGCATCTTATTGAAAACACTATCTAGGTGTTTCTGTACATGCAGAATAGAGAGATCAGGGAGCGGCTTCATCAGGAGATTGATGTTTTGTAGCTTTTAAGTTTCAGATTTCTTTTTTTTTTTTTTTTTTTTTTGGCCAAGTGGCTTGTGGGATCTTAGTTTCCTGACCAGGGATTAAACCCAGGCCACATCGGTGAGAGCACTGAGTCCTAACCACCGGACCACCAGAGAATTGCCTCAGATTACCTTTTAAGACCTTGCTGTAGAGCGAGACTTTCCTGCCATGAGTGCCAATTATCCCTAGGAACAGAGGGCAACTTTTATTTAATGGCTTTGGAGCACAGAGACTGGGGTTCAAATCTCTGCTAGCCCACTAAATGGTTTGTGTGGCCGGGGTCTGGCAGCTGCCTTTCCCGTCTATAAAACGGGGCCCTCACGGCCGCTGGGATGGGCTGGAGGGCCATGGTCAGCAGCGAGCTCCACTGGCCAGGGGTCATCACCTGAGAGGCACTGTCTCCCTTGGGCCTGGGTTTTCCCATCTGTGACACGGAAGCCAGAGCATGCCTGACCTGGAGGCTACTGGGGATTCCACAGAAGCTGTTTCCCCCCAGAACTGGGGACCCACATGGCAGCAATGACCGCCCGGAGTGCTGCCAAGTCTCCTGCCGGCAGAAGGAACTGAGGCCACAGCCACGCGGAGTACCTGTTTTATTTCTGACACAGGTGCACCTCAGGACAGCGGCGGACTTGGGGCAGGGGTTGGTGCTGGGGGTGGGGCTAGAACTCCACCTTGCAGGCGGGGAAGGCCTCGTCCTGCATGGACACAGTGCTGTTGCTGCCCAGCACCGTGATGCCCAGCGCCTGGTGCCGGGCGTGCGTCTCCTCATACCACTCGTGCATCGCCACCGAATCGAAGGTGGGGATCAGGGTCACCTGTGGGTGGGACAGATGGACCAACGGTGAGGGGGAGCGCCCTCTGCCCTCCCGGCCCAGCCCCAAGGCATCTGAGGCCCCTCTTCTCTGACCGCGTTTGTCTCCGACTCCATTACCTCTTGCCTGGATGTCTGCAGCCGGCGGCCAGCCTGTCCCCGAAGTCCCTTCTCCTTCCCGTGGCACCCAAAGGACCCTTTCACAACCCAGGAGACCGGACCACTCTCCCGCGAATTCTTCTCCATGCTTCCCGCCCAGCCCCACCGCTGCCACCTCCCCCTGTTCTCTTGCCCAGGCCTCCCTCCAGCTCCCTGAATACACTAAGCTTGCTCCCGCCACTGGCCTTCGCCCACGCTGTGCCGTCTGCCCGGGACGCTCCCTCGCAGCTGCTCCATAAGCTGCGTGCAAGGCTGGGTGTCAGCACGCTCACAGGCTGAGTGGGTGGCCAGGTACCTGGAGGCTCCTTCTATCCAAATTCACCTCACCCTTCAAGGTTCTATTTCAAGGCTTCCCATGGGGACAACCCCAGCCCTCAGGGTCAATTCTCAACGTTCTTAGCTGTGTAGACACCACACATCTCACCTATTCCTCCTGGCTGATTCTCATAACATTACGGAGGTTCAGTGCCAGGGGTCAGGTGAGGTGATCAAACCAGCCCCACCCTGCGACCTCACCCAGATTTGCTGCAGACAAGGAAGTGGATGTAACAGGAACAGAGTCCCGAGAGCTGGGTGGCACTCCTGCATTTGACCTCATTGCCGCATGGCCTTGGGGACATGGCTTAGTCTCTCTGAACCCCACTCCCTCCTTGGATGCGGGTGAGGTCACACC